TGTCTGGGGGAATGGGCGGCGGGGGACAGGAAGGACGGTACGTGTCTGGGGGGAAGGGGAGACCAGCCAGAGAGGCTTTTTGTATCCAATGCACTTTCCAGACCCTTTCCCTTGTATAACTCTCTAGTTCCTGGCTAGGTGATCAGTGTCACCCTGGGGGGGCCCCTCTTCCCACCTCCCCAATCCCAATGCTTTGGATTCACCCAGCTTTGGCCCTGGAGTCCCCATTGCTGTATACCTAGGGCCCTACCTAAATTCATGGCCATGAAAAACATGGCACGGACCGTGAAATCTGGTCTCCCCCATGAAATCTGGTCTTACGTGAACTTTTACCCTATACTATAAATGTATCCTATACTATAGGGTAACAGAATTCAGAAGTACCAGTGTTTTCTCAAACTGGGGTTCCCTACCCAAAAGGGGGGGTGCAAGGCTATTGTAGAGGGGTCACAGTATTGCCACCCGTACTTCTGTGCTGCTGCTGGCAGCAGCGCTGCCTTCAGAGCTGGGCACCTGGCACACAGCCCACTGCTCTCTGGCCACCCAGCTCTGAAGGCAGCGCAGAAGTAAGGGTGGAATACTGTGACCTCCCACAATAGCCTTGTGATCCCCTTTTGGACCGGGACCCCCAGTTTGAGAAACGCTGAGTCTTAAGGGCTTTGCATATTTATATTTTGCTGTTTTTAAATGTGCATTCGTGTTTTGTTACAACACTGTGAAATTTATGATTTAAATATCTGAAACCGGGGACAGAACAAGATTTTAAAAATGCGGTGACCGTGAAATGTACAAAAATGGACCGTGAATTTGGTAGGGCCCTGGTTATAACAGCCCCGTGTGTGTCAAAGAAACAGCCTGGCCTGGGGGTTTCCACAGAGTTTGTAGCCAAGAGATTTGCCTCACTTGGAAATTGGGGTGAACTACCCTTTTCTGGGATTTACCTGTGTGGGTTAAAGATCAGCCCCTACACAATGGGAATTCAGTGTGTGCCTAGAAAGAAACGCACATGACCCCAGAATGGCTCTTTACTCCCCTCTAGTGTCTGGACTGAGTATTGAGGTCCTTTAGCTCAGCCACCAGGGCTGGGTGCTTATAGGTGCCAGGGTTCAATCCTGCCAGCGGACAGAGCAGTTCACAGAATATCAGGGTTGGAAGGGACCTGAGGCGGTCATCTAGTCCAACCCCCTGCTCAAAGCAGGGCTGATCCCATACAGATTTTTGCCCCAGATTCCCTAAATGGCCCTCTTAAGTATTGAACTCACAACCCTGGGTTTAGTAGGCCAATGCTCAAACCACTGAGCTATCCCTCCCCATTGTTGCCTGGGTGTCAAAGCAACGGCCCTGCTCCCATGAAATTCTACCAAAGTTGGGATGCTCTGGAGGTGGATTTACAAAGAGATGTAGGGCTTTGGATGCTCAAAGCACACCTAACCTGCACAAAGTACAGCTACGGGGAGCAGCTTAGGAATGATCGCTCGTTAGCAGCCTGCTGGTTAGAGCACTCCCGTGGGATGTAGGAGACTTAGGTTTGAATCCCCACTGTCCCTGATCTGCTGCAATGACCTTAATCCGCATCGTCCCAGGGGAGTTCCCTAGCCACTGGGTTATAGGGTATTCTGCTGTGGGAATCCCTCCTGCTGAAGCTTTTCTCTTGTTTTAAATAGTTATGGGAGCAGGGGCTTGAACGGGGTGGGCTCCTACACATAGATACTGACTTTTGGTTTTGCCGGTGGGTGCTCCATCCTGGGCTCCGCCCCCTTCTCCAAGGCCCCGCCCCCACTCCGCCTCTTCCCACCCCATCCCCCTAGACTCCCCTGAACACCTCCTTGCCAACCCCCTCCCCTAAAAGCCTCCCACCTGCCACTCACTCCTTGCTGCCCCCTCCTGCCCTAAGGGCGAGGTGTGTGTGCTGGAGGGGCGCTCTGCCAGGTTTGAGGGGAGGCTGTTTTCAATATATTTATACACTTTCATTCTAGCTGGCTGTCACGGGGTGATCATTCTCTTTGGGTTTTCATGAGAAAAGGCTCACCTGGTTGAGGCACCTAACTCCAGGAGAGGTTCACAGCTGAGAATCCCAAGCGGAGGGAGATGCCTACCTCTGGCCCATCAGCCTGGCACCTAAGTTTCAGGTCCATAGGAGTTCAGCACCTAAATACTTTTGGGCATCTGGCCCCTCACCATTTCCTGCTGGCTAACTTAGGTGGCTTCTGAGAACCTCTTTTTTAGGTGCCTATTTCTCCCCAGCTCAGGGCTGTGGATTCTCCTAAATCCTCTTTGTGATTCTAGTCCTTAGCTCCCTGATGCTGAAGCTATCTGGCAGGGGAATCATTTGGTTCCCTCACTGTGCTGGGCTCTGTTCACCCGCAGGACTGTGTCCATTACAAAAGGAAGAGCAGCTTTCCTTCCCTGGATCAGGAAATCCTTGATCCTCACCCTGCCACTGCAAGATGGATTCATAGATTCCAAGGCCAAAAGGGACCATTGTGATCATCTGAAATCACCGGGGGGAACAGGTCAGAGATCTTCCCCGAAATAATTCCTAGAGCAGATTTTAATTTTTTAAAAATCCAATCTTGGTTTACAAGTTGGCAGGGTAGAGAATCCATCACAGCCCTTGATTGGTCCAATGGTTAATTACTCTCACTGTTAAAAACTGACCCCTTATTTCCAGTATGAATTTGTCTAGCTTCAACTTCCGGCCTTTGGAACTTGTTGTACCTTCTTCTGCTAGATGGATGAGCCCACTAACAAATATTTGTTTCCCACTTATAGACTGGGATCAAGTCACCCCGGAACCCTCTCTTTGCTAAGCTAACTAGACCGAGCTCCTGGAGTCTCTCACTAGGAGGCAGGTTTTCAAATCCTTTAATCATTCTCGTAGCTCTTCTTTTAACCCTCTTCAATTTATCAACATCCTTCTGGCATTGTGGGCACCGGCTGCCAGCTGTGGTCGCTCCAGAGCCGAATACAGAGGTAAAATCACCTCTCTACTCAGAGGCCCCGGCGTCTGGGAGAGCAAGAGCCCCCTCAAGCAAATAACAGGGAAAGCGAAATTCCACGGCGCGCTGGAAGCATCAGCAGACAGCGTAGCACACTCACAGAATACAGATACAGCGGTAAGGGCGTGAGTAGGATTGCGCTAGATAAATAGATGAGCATTCTAGTCCGCTCCAGGAACGGAGAGTTCACTAGTGTAGGGGCTGGGCCCAGCTTCATAGGAAACAGTCACTATTCAAGCCATTTCCCCAGTCACCTGTTTAACCTGATCTGGCTCCACAAATGCTTTATCACATGCCCCATCTGGCTCCCCAGCAGCACCGTCCCAGGCCCTCGGTGAGCACGGCGTTAATCCGGGGACGTGCTGCTCACCGGAGTGCAGATGCTGTTCACATCTCACTGGGATTTTTGTCCCCTCTTCGTGGCCGAGGTGGATGGGGTGGCTGCTGAGGAGAGGCGCTGGCCGGGAGGCCTGGAGAAATGACGTCCTTCCCTGAGCGCGGGGGGAGCTCCCCAACACACGCTGCCCCCGTGCCTTGCCTTAGCCTGGGGGAGAGTGGAGCTTGGTATCCAGGGACCGTCCAGCCCACAGTCTCTGTGCTGTGGCTGCCGGCGAGGAGGGCTCAGGTCCTGGGGACACCTGTTCCACCAGGAGAGGATGGAGTCACACACACACACCGCACCACGAGGACAGGGATAGACATGAGTCTGCAAAAGCACAGCTGCTGCGATGCTCCTTTGGGCCAGTGGGGGGCGCTGGCGAGTGCAGGGCCCTGGCTGAGCGTGAGCCAGTCCTAGGGGCAGGTGGGGATGGAGGGTAGAGAAGGAGGTCTCGAATCCATGGTCCGGGGGGAGGGAGGGTCCGGTCATTCACTGGGAGCATCTGTGGTGAGTGCCTCCTTACAGTCTTCCCCTGCCTTTTCCTCCATGCTGGCCTCTGCAGGTGCCGCCCCGTTCCCAGCCGCCGGCTCATGGTCCGTCATGTCCTTGTAATTCCGCTTGAAGAAACCACACTACCGGGAAAAGGAAAAACCACCACTGATTGACTAGGGGACTAGAGAAACTCTCTCCGACCCATGTTCGGGTCCAATTGGAGCTAGAGGGGAAAGGCCCTGTGCCTCATTCTCTGCCCCCCGGAGCTAGCCATCTCCCGTGCCCTGGGGTCGGATTGGAGCCAGTGCCCCCGAGAGGGGAAAGGCCCCATGTCCCATTGGCTTCTCTCTGTGCTAGTCCGGCCCCCGCTGTGGTTTCAACTGGACATGGGGTTCTTTTTCAATTCCTCCCCTTTGCTGTTGGAGAGTGTTGCCTCCACCCCAGAGGTGGACGCATCTCAGGATGAGCTCTAAGGAGGTGACGCAGTCCCTCCAATGTCTGCATGG